CTAAAGAGGTTGTAATAGCAATCCTACTCATCTTCGCTTTGGGATAGTTTAGCTAGATTCAACTACTTCCTGCAATCCTTGTTGTTCGGGAGACCACCATGGGGGCCTAATTCTTCCCCTTCTACGAGTTATTGGACAAACCACCTCTAATTCTTGCCGACACGATACTGTAATTGAACGAGGACGGTTAGGTCTAGGGTTGGAATGGGGAAATTATAGGAATACGTTTCTTCAGTTCTTGCAGGTGCACTTGCCAGTTCGTTTTCCTATGATTCCTGTAATTGTCTACCCTGCATACATCTTCTTCAAATTTACATTCAATAAAGCGGTGATCCGAAAATGAGTGTTCCACAAGAACTCTCCAATGGGTTATTTTATCTACCCTTTCGTTGACCAGCTTTTTAATCAGCAGCGATGGTAGTTCCTCCTCTTCGTATGGCATATAGCATCACACCAGCCGGTATTTATTTGCGTCCGTCTTTCAGCTTAGGGCTGCGGTGTCTTGGTTGCTATATCTATGTAACATGAAATCGTTAAAGTTATTCTTAGCCAGTATACATGCTCTAACTTTACCTTCGCAATTAACCTTGTATAGTTTTTAGTTCGGTGCCCTCAGCCCGCAAATGCGCCCTCCATTAACCCATGGCTCCTGAATGAGGACGATTTCAGACTGTTCTCACCATGTAGTCAATTAGGGCTAGAGAAGCTAATTTGCTAGGGTGGAGATTAATTTGAAGAAGATACATTAACAATTGACTTGTCTGCATCTTCTTGAGGGTCGTCAGAAGCTCTCTCTCAGTATAGAATTTAGAGAGTCTGCCAACAAGCTTCGACCCCAAAGAACACTCACCTTGCTAAATGCTATCTACATCTTTGGAAAACTCCATGGGATCTTCCTCGACTTTACCAATCACATTTTTCGATGCTTAGTCAGCAGCATCGGCGTCTGACTAGTATGTCATGATCTTCACTGAATCTACAAGATCAGCAAGCGATTTTGCGGGCGTTACTCCTTTTGTCTTCGGTTTTTTGGATGACGGTTTAGCCTCTACAGCAGACTTCTGTCGCTTGGCTGCCCCTGCTGCCGCTTCTAGTTTAAAGTTAGGCAAGAATGCTTTCGCGCAAATACTAGACCTCCTTCGTAAGCTCCTCATAGGTTGGCGGTTGCAGCTGCACTTTTCTCAGTAGGTAGGCAGCACGCAGCTTCTCCTCATACCTGGCCTTCGTTGGAACACCGACTTTAAAACTAGGCCCTGGCAGATGCACTGCTAGCATCGAGACCTTTGGCATCTCCATTACCTCCCTGCTTAGCAGTCATAGCAGCCTTTGTACTGGCAATTTTCGAGCTCGTTGCAAACGCTGCCCTCTTTTCGGAACTCGTGCCTTCAGGCTTTGTTTGTCGTTTCATCTTTTGGACCCACACAGCCCTCATTAAGCAAGTAAGACTATCTTATTATGGAGGGCGCCTGGTATCCGTTCGAGACAGAGCTATTTAAGGCCCCCAGCCAGGCTGACCTTCGGCGCGGCGAACTGTTACCAGCTTGTCCCAGCCTTAGTCGGGATTCTGTGGTAGCTATTACTAGACGGCACTTTAAGGCAGGGTTTAGCAGAGGATTTTTGCCAACCTGGCACATCTGTAAGAATCATAGGGATTCGTGGCAGCAATACATTTTCGCCTCGAAACTTATCATTCACAATGGTTGCTTCGTTAATGTTTTTCTTTAGTTTTGTACTGGTTAATCTTGTGCCATTGCAAAGCTGAGGTGGGTTCAAGTTACGAAGCAAAATAACCAGAGATCCTACCTTCAGTTGTAAGTGGTGTGGTGGAATGCCCGGCATATCCACTGAATTGAAAGTCTGAATTAGTTGGCATCGAAACCAGCATTGATAGATTTGTATGACACCAAGTCTCTGGTAACAACTGTTGTTTGTGATGAATTTCATCTATTAACGTCCACATTTTTTATACTAAAATCAATCTTTCTGCTAGCCACTCAAGACTTTTATATTTTGTGTGTACATCGGGAAATTTATTGACGATGAGAGTATTTTGTGAGTTGATACTTGTGCAGAAATCAGTCGGTAATTTTATGCATCCAGTATTTTCATGTACAGCAAGTTTTCCATTGCCAATATCTAACAATTGCTTTGAGAAACGTTCGGCAGATAGATTTTGAAGAATATAAACACCCATGTTCACTGTCAGTTGTACTCTTTCAACATTACGGTAGAGTCGCAATGATTTTAAGCAAGCGTTGATTTCATAAGCGTACGTTGAACGTGGAATAGCGGGAAGTGTATGTCTGAAATCACCTGACATGAACATTGTACATCTTTCGATTTCCTATCCAGTTTCAGTCTTTCAGCACTGTGGCCTCGGACGATTGTGTTTTTATGTAGCTCACTGCATCTGGGTTAGTTTGAATGTTTACTGGCTTAAATCCTAAATGAGGTGTTCTGAATCCATCTACTAAAGTTGCTGCGATGTATGATCGAATGTTTTGTGAGTTCCACCCGGTGCATCCAAAAACAAAATCAAAAACAAAGAATCCCCTTTGCCCTACGATACGATTTATTTTACGTAAACGATTTATATCTGTGTTGATTAAATCAGATGCACTTCGATTTGGTGTACTTATACCAAAATGAATGATTGGTAAATTTGCAATGACAATGCAATGATCCTCTATAGAAATCAATGCTGCATTGTACATTGCGTCACTAAATGATATCGTTAGATCGTTGCACCTTGTACGATGACGATACAATATATCATCACTCATCGAATCTTTGTGATTATTTCACACCATTTGCGATCGGGCCGGGAAATATGTCGTCGATACTATAGCAAACGGTAGATGAGTTTGTGTTCCTGTGCAGTATATTGCTGCTTCAGAAAGCACACTGCTCTCCTGATTATCATCTTCTAGCAAACTAAGTGCAAGGCATGCATCTTTATACGTTGAATACTGTTGTCCATTTACTTTCCGTACAGGTTTGTTGAAAAGATGGTTGATCTCACCAAGAAATAGCACTACTAGTTCCAAATTTTTTACAAGGTGGTACATCTGTCGTGAGAACACATACAAGCCATTCTGTCAGTTAATTCTTTGTTTACAAGCAATTTGAAGTAAACGTGTCAGAGTATTTTTTTTAATATGGAAAAAATTTAATACCGCGCAGTGATTAGAGTCTTTGTTTTGCAAGGTTTGGAAGCAAAGGAAATTTATGAACAATTGTAAGAAGTGTATATAGAATCCTCACCTTCAAAACGCATCGTTGAATTTTGTGCTGGTGAATTTAAACGTGGTCGTACTAGGGTGGAAGACGATCCACGCGAAGGACGACGAAAAACCGCAACCACACCAAAAATCCTTGAGTAAGTTCATTATATTGTTAGTGAAAATCCATGATTGACTAAGCGTAAAATTTCTAATGCCATGGGCATCACAGACGAACGAGTACTTTATATTTTACATGGAAAATTACATACAGCTGTTTGGAAAGTTAATGCCGCACACGTTAACAATTCAACAAAAACTAGATCGAAAACAAATTTCTCAGCATAATTTGGAGCGTTTTAAGCAGAATAAAACCGATTTCTTGCGTCGTTTTATAACTATGAATGAGACTTGGACACCACCATGATCCTGAATTTAAACAAGAAGGTTATGGCATCAGTTTTTTGGGATGCAAAAGGAATTTTGTTGATTGATTATCTGCAGAAAAGTAAATCAATCAATTCTGAATATTATTGTAGCCTTTTTGATCAGCTCGATGAAAACATTCGTATGAAGCAACCTGGTTTGCAGCGGAAAAAAATAATTTTTCATCAAGACAATGCACCTGCTACAAAGGTGTTTTAACAATGACAATATTCAACTAATTAAAGTACGTTTACATATGAAAATAATTTCGTTCTAAGCTGGTTCAACAATCTAACCGTTTACATAGCCAAAGGAAATTATCAGCTGTCAAATGTGTTGTAGTTGTTTTCTTCTTGGTGAAGTTAAATATTAATAAAATCGTTGAAATTATACATTTTAAAGATATGGAAGAAAAAAAGAAGGCGACTGCATACTTAATCGCGCAGATTTCAGCCAGAAATAAGAAGTTGGCAGAAATACGGAAAAGACAACAACTCAGATTGAAAAAAATATTATATTGCTATGCACATGCAAAATGCGCTGTTGCATTTTGTATTAAATAATAATAGACCAAAACGTTTGTGGAAACACGTAAGCAATTACATTACTTTTTTTTTAATTTGGAAAACAAGTTACCCGCTTGATGTTGAATTGTAGGAAAGGTATGGTAATTTTTGGGAGCTCGACGTTGCTTGCAATAGGTACCAATTTTTCAAGGAAAGCTTCAGAATGAGTAGGGAGCCATTCACAATTTTGTGTAATGAGTTAAAAAACATTGGCTTATCTAAATCTCGAAGGTTTGTGGAGAATGCATTTGGCCATCTGGAAGCAAGGTTTAGAAGGATAAGGAAAAGAATTGACAACGATATTAAAAACGCAATTACAATAATAAAATGTTCTTTCGTCTTGCACAATTTTTTAAATGAAGTGAATGAGAGCATAAACACGAAATGATTGCAAGTGCAAACAAATTTCGAAAGCGCTTGCCCACGAGAGCAACCAGATCCGTTATTAATTTCTGAAACCGACGACACTAATGCAGAAAACATCAGAAAATCAATAGCTCTATTTCTATATAAGTTTTATTTATTTTATCAGTTAAATTTTTCATTTACATTCAGTTCATTTTTTGTTATTTCATTATTTACTGTAAATCAAATTTATCTTCACAATGAAACAAAACGAATTCATTAACAAAAAAATAATTCATTAACAAAACAAAATACTTAAACTAAATACTTAAAATTGAAATATTAAATTTCGTACTTTATCAGGATGAAGTTAAACTTCTCCTGGACTAGAAATTAGTTTATAAAAATATATACAAACTTTTCAAATTTCTATTTTGTTTCACTAACCTGTACGCTCCTTCACTAAAGTTTCCAAATTAAAGCTTTTATAGCTGCCGAGAATACAATTTATTAACCAATAGTATTCCCAAGTCGGCGGACTGCCACCAGATGGACCAACTGCTTTCTTTTCATCTCTGTAAACAGGTTAATTTTTTTAAAACTTGTATATGCATAAATCCATACGCATATTAAATGAAGCTACCTGTATTTATTGGTCGAATTGTAAATCTTTACTCGAATTTCATTGGCGGAATAAACATATTCTCTTGTAGCCATTTCCAGCGACATATCTTTAAACACATGAGAATTGCGTTTAACGCCTCGAATCTGCGGCAATTTCTCCTCCCACTAGCCAAGGAGAAGTTCAACTTCTTCCCTGTTCCACTTTGACCTCTTTTTCCTGATAAAATAACAAATTAATGTATGTTTTAAATTACTTTGTTATTAAAAATTTATTTACAAACCTCTTTCCCTCGTTGTCGGGCATTTTTGATTACTTTTTCATTTGACGTTTCTCCTGTCCTTCGCAAAAGTTATCGATAAAACTAGGAAGAACACCACAAATCTAATTGTATAATCGGAGATTAAAAATTAAAAAATTAAAGAAGAGAAGTTTGTATGGTAAATCTCTTTTCTTTATTACAGATTATCGAGTTAAGCTAGTAAATGGAGATAATCGTGTTATATGTAAACATACTATTTAAGTACGAAGTGCTTGAGCATCCACCGTATTCACCAGATTTGGCTTCCAGCGACTACTACCATTCAGAAACCTAAAACAATTCTTTCGTGGAAAGCGTTTTTTGTCAGATGAAGAAGCTGTTACAGCGGTAGACGAATATTTTGCAGAGCTTCCGGAAAGTCATTATAGTGATTGCATAAAATTATTGGAGGATCATTGAAATAAGTGTATTGAAGTTAAGGGAAATTATATTGAACAACAAAATATATTTCGTACCAAAAACAGTATTTTATCATTTCGAGCCCAGAAAATATTCAACCAACCTGTCTATCTTGAAATGTTAATGGCCTGGTGACATTAACAAACAACTTTCGCAGATAAAAGTACTCAGACGGCCCTGGGTGGACTGTACCAAATTGGGTTGACACGACCCAAATGATATGGTTTAAATAAACCGAGACTAGTTGATGCTTTTACCTTGCTTTTAGGCACAAAGTTTTCGATTGATCCCATAGAAAATAGCTTTCTACTTTTAAGTAGTAGTACTCGCACGATTACACAATTCAAAAAAGTTTATGAGCGTAGTTTTTGGTGGATTTATAACACTATCTAGCGCTGTTTAGTTCGTGAACGGCTTTGGCCGTTTTCGAGATAATTAACTTGACTTGAAGGGAATGCAATAAGCCGAGTTATTTTTATTCCTACTTCGTGATGTAACTGATTGGTTGATAGAACCAGAGAATGCTAATGAATAGGGAAGGAGCAAATGTTAGCTGTACTAAAATGTTAATTATTATGAGGGATCATCGAAAACGCGCAAGTTCGAAAATAAAATGTCACCAAACCTATCAGGGTACGCAACGAACTACACCACTCTATAAGCAAAATGTATACACATATATATTCCCAGATGTTCTTTGATATGCGCATAAACAAAAATTGAAATAATAAAAACGAAAGTAATTGACTTCCGACAAGAAAATATCAATAATGAGGGAAATAATATTAAAATAGAATTCAAATATCATTTCATAAAACAGGGTTATAAAAATAAAAAAAGACTATATAAAAATATGATAGGATTTGAACTTAGCCAAAATATTTCACGTTGCAATAAACAAGTCTGCTATACAAGCAGCACCACAGAAAATATTCAAACTATTTTGTCTAAACGGTGAACTCAAACAGCTATTGTTGTTTACTTGCTTCAATGTTCATATGTCTATATGTGAATATTCTTGAAATTGCCTTCCTTCATTCGCATGTCCAAATATATTTGCATATATGTACACATATGTAAATATGTATGTCCCTCAATATGTCTTTCGCAAAAAATCAAACATTTGCGCAAGTGACAAAAAAAACGTAGACGCACCATCATCGGCCAATAATATTCAAGCGAACTCGCGACTTATTTTCTAAATATTTCAGATTACAACGACAACAAATTCATTCATAAGGAATTTGCGTCTGCCTCTAAGCAAACTGCGTTCGTTCATAACTCTGCGCCTCGCTATTTTTTCTGTGCGCCTGGTAAACCACATTTGGTTTTCATATAGAATTCCTAAATGCGCGAAAATAAAAATGAATGAAAATGAATTTGAATGTCTTCAGTAAAATTGAAGAATCAGCAAAATTTCAATTTTACAATTTGTATCACTGAAAATCCTACCATTCCCCTCGCATTTGTATGTTGCCCACAAGCTGCTTCCTCACAACATTTGCTAAAAATCAGAAATTGAAGAATTTCTCTGATGTTCCCTTCAGAAAGGAGAATTGGCAACATGACCTATAAGCGAGTTTAAATAATATTTATATTTTTTCATATTATGCACTATATATGGCATTAAATTAAAAAAATTATATAAAATTGCCATTCATAAGAAATCTTTAACTACTTCTTTATATTCTATGCACACTGCATATAGTACTTTTATATGTTTACTTATTATCATTGTTTCATAGTTTTTCGATTTAGCCCATTTTATCTAAATACGACGTTCAATCGGTAATCGCAATATTTCAAAAGAGCATAAGTCATTTTTCATTAGCAAACCACTGCAAAAAAGACAAACGAGACAACATAGCCGACCATTGTATAAATCTTAGGCTTATACAATGTAGCCGACCGACATTGTCGCAAAATTGTCGATTCAAACAAATTTTGTCAACTCCGCGACGATTCACACAATTTGGTGTCAATATGTATGCGAGCTCATATATGTATGTATGTATATACTTATGTATGTTTGTGGACAAAGTCGTCATTTGGTTTTTTTCAACAACACAATGTCTGCACGAACTCGCCGTTATTTCTTTGGCTTGCCACCATACACAGAGGCGTTCTAACTGAGGACTCTTAGTATATTATTATGTTGCTTAATTTGTATTGAAAAATACTGATGTATTTATGAATTATTTTCGTAATATAATATATATTATATATATATATAAATACACATAAATTCATACCTATAATCGTTTTTAAACTAAATTCGATAAATAAAATATATATCTGAAATAATTATGTGGCAGTGCGCCCAAATCCCTTCTTGCCTTCGATCGTTCAACTCGCAAAAAGCGCCGACAAAAGTCATTGCTTGTGCGGGGCAAGAAGAAGCAAGCATCAGGTACGTGTATTTAAGAATGTATGTGTGATTATCACATTTGTGTAAATACGCATAATAAGGAAATATTCAACAAACCTAAACATATGAATATATTTTCCTGATATATTTTAATTATATCAGGGAGTAAAATATGCTATTAAAGAAATTGAAAGATAATATGCTTAGACTCTAATTAATAAAATAAAAAAATTAAATAAAATTTCAGTTTTAGGACTCGAACGTATAGGCTCGTATTCGGATTGTGCTTAACCCCTTCCCGCTTACGACCTCAGCCATCGCAAAAGTGAAAACAGGGCGGCTTAGCCACCGTTATATTGTTATTCTTTGTTCAACAAGCAATTACTCACGCAACGCCCATAAATTGGAAAAATTGCCTATTAAATGTTTATTTTATTATGAATTCTGGGGTTTTTACCGGTAATACAGCTTTTTAATTCAGAAGGCTTTTCATAATTATAAATTTTGTCATATCATAGAAATTGAAAACATAAATCAAAATAGGTATGCGCAACGATTTTTCATTTACTAATATTCGTTGTGTCTATTTATAGCATTTCGCACATTGCGTGGTGTATTTTCTTTTTCGAAGTTACATTTTTCGATGTTCCCTCATCTGGAATTACAAATTAGTACTCAAAAAGATTTCATTTAACATTTGCTCCTTCTCTATTCATTAACATTCTCTGATAGAACTATGCTACATAAAAATTATAGTATACTACAATTCTTATATTCGATTGCATTTGGATGAAATAGAATGCGATAAAAATCGCCATTAAAATTTGTATATTAGATTATGCTTTTTGACTGCGTTATAGAGAATTTAATGAAATAATGAAATGTAATAGGCTGATTAGATTTGTTCGTTTTTAATTGAGAGATTTTCAAATATTTTGTGACTATCGCTTAACGAATTGCGAAGTCGTCTTCAGTCACGGAAAATGCCTCTAATTTAAAATCTTAAGTTTAGAGACTTGTGTCTATATCAAAGGACTGAATTCTCATATAACACCGTTGACTGGAGCAGTAAGGTATCATGTTTTGCAAGAGAAATTGCTCCAAACGTATTTTGATTGATTAAAATCAAACAAGAATAATTATAACAGATCGATGTATAAACATAATGAAAAACCTTTTAAAAAAGTTCCTAGGAGAGAATTTTTATGGGAGCGCGAATTCTGCATGTGCGCATATGGCATTATATACAGTTATTGTTGGACGTTTAAGTAAAACTGAAAGATCCAAATCCTCGAATATATGTTTCCACTAGTACTATGAAGGTGTAACTTGAGTTTTGTATTTGCAATAATTTTCATTTTTATGACATTAAATCACATTTGTAGCGTTTCCATTGAAGGGTTATTGTTGTGAATTCTGACCCGCAACGCTATCAAGATTACAAAATGTTCATATTCGGCTACAAAAAACGTTTATTGAATCTAATACAATATTCGCACCGAATTGAAATCCTCTTGAAAACACAACTTGTGGATTGTGGAACCAAAGTCGTTCTGACCGACATTGTGTGTTTTCTATTTGTTTACATTTGTTATGTACCCTACAAGAACAGTGACGGTCATCTGATGGGTAATATTATATGACAGTCATAGCTGAAAAAAATTTGTCAGCGCGTAGACCAAAGTTTCTATCATTTTCTTAAAAGCCTTGTTTTCTTTTTGTTTGTTTGTTTTGTTTTTCTGAGTCATTGCTGACCATAAATCCGTCATAGCTGAAAATTGTCAGTTATGACTGAAACGCTATCAAAAGTGAAAAATTGTTTTGCGCAGTAGATAATATAATTTTTATATCTTTAATAAATTTCAAACTTTTAATCAAAATTAGTTATAATAATATGCTTAAATATAAAAAGGAATGCAACAAAAAATATTATAATATATGAAAATATATAAATAAATTTTCACTTGATGCCATCTCCTCCTCTCAATAGCTCTGCGTATGTCTTTCTCCAATCAGTGGATAGTTCTGAATTTAATAATGCAAATATAAATTAACTGTTCTGACATATCAGTTAGTTTCTTGTAGGGTACGTTTAGGCCAATTATAGAATGTAAACAAATTGTCA